GTGCAAAAATTATCACGCGAATTCAGTTCAATTCAGTTTACATATTTTCATATTACTTTTCTATGTTGCATTATTTTTTTTAAATTTGGATGCTCTAATGATCTTTACCGAAAGATGTATCTCAAGAAATCCTCAGGATAGTCTAGAGAAATAGTTTGAACATACATTATGAACGATGAAGGTCAGGTGCTGTTTATAGTTGAGTTTCATAAACTGATGTCCGTATCTGAAGAGTGCAGCATTTAATTTGGATACTTGAAAGATATAGACTCGACAAACTATAGGAAATGCAATACAAGCTTCCAGAAACTCAATTTTTTTCAAGAGAATGATTTTAAAATTGTAGGTTGTCACAGGAATAACAAAAGCAAAAACAAAAACACATCACCCAGAGATTCCATTTTCATTTCATTTCATTAAAATATTTCCTTGCTTTCACGCAAAAGAATTTGTAGACATGTTTTTGGCAAAGATTTTCGTATAACACCATACTTTTCTAAATCAAAGCTGTACATATAATCCCAAAGGCAATCTATTGTTTCTTCAAGACAAGAACTGAATTGAAGGCATTAAGTCTGTAGCTGTGCAGCCGATCTTGCCGCATTTGGTCGCTTAAAAGGAAACAAAGCGAACGATAAGAACTGACATTATAACCTTCACAAACTCAACTAGTTTGTAAAGAATGATTTAAATGCAGCTTTTTCCGCTAAAAAAAAAATAGAAAAGAAAAGTAAACCTGACTCCGGAATTCTGTTTTCATTGTAATTTGAATATTCACCAATTTTTAGACAAATTAAAACGCGTGTTTTTATTCGGAGAACAGAGGTTTGCAAATACCGTTTGATTATTTGACATTTCAAAGGCTTTTTATGGACAATATGAACAAAAGAGCACAGCATTTGATCTGTTTAAAGTTAAATTTCGACTCGGCAAATGATAGGGGACAAAAACCAAATTTCAGAACTCAGTTTATCAGATATTTTATTTGAATTCTGTCATGATAACAGAGGAATTACAACGGCAACATCAAATTCTTCGAATTAATAACAATAATTACGTTTAGGTTTATTGCAGAATTCAGGTTACGTTCATGCATGGCACGGTCAATAAATTAATGCTGCTTAAATCTCGCGTAAAGTTCTTGTTTCTGTAAAAAATTTCAAACTACTGTTTGGTGATGTATCCTTTATTTTTACTATCTTGCAGCCCGTCTTGTGAATACTTCTCGTTCTTCAAGTGCGAATCAAACAAAAAAGACTTCTTCTCCATAGAAGATTCAATCCGAGGTACAATACAAGCGTAACAGTTTCCTCTAGAATGCGGCTAGTCAACGCTTACAACTATATGGACTTGAAGACAGATGTAAGCCAATTTTACTTTGCGATTTTGTTGGACACAAAAGAACTTACTGAGGGCTGTTTAAAAATTTAAAATTTTTCTGCCAAAAAACTTACGGGTGCTTATAATAATAAGCATGCGCCAATTTTTTTTTATTTGTTCTGTAAGTAACTTCTGTTCAAATGTTGCCGATTTTCCCGCCAAAAAACTTATGAAAAATGCGGTGCTCAAAAGTACGCATGCGCCGAATTTTTTTTTTTTTAAACTTCGTACTATATTTCTATGATTTTGTTTTGTGTTTATTACTTTCTAATAAAGCCAATGAAAATAAAGTCATTTTCAGTTCGTGCAAACTTTTATTGTCTTTATCAATATTCACTCAATAACAAACAAGTGTTTCTTTCAGCATTTAGTTTATTGTTTTACATCATTTTTAATTGAATTAATATAAAAGGTGTCAGGAAAAATTTTCGTATATATACTAAGACTTTTGGCGGGAAAATCTGGACCAATTTGCACAGAGTTTCCCCTGGCAACTTTTTCGGCAAATATTTTAACAAGGCTTTCTCTAAGATTTCCCGCCAAAAATTGTTTAAACAGCAATTCGCGCGAAAAACTCTCGTATTAAATTCCTTTTCCAGCCAAAAAAAAAATTAAGTTCCGATCTCTTTTCCAAAATTTTTTGAACGCAATTTT